GGCGTCCTCTTGGAGATTCAAAGTTATTTCATACTTTTGCACGCGACACCGTCCGCGTGGTATTAATAAAAACAAAAGCTACCTATGTGTTCTTCCAGACTATCCCCTACATTTATCTCAAATCTCAGAGATCCGTTCAGCAGTTTAGGGTACAACCTCTAACAACAATCCAAATAAAACTTTCGCATTAATATTTGTATGCTTAAAATCTTGCTTTAAATATGCCATAAAGTGCACATTTAGTATCACACTAAAGATTGACGACCCTGTAAAACCCTTTTTCCACTCGGCGAACTTTCACTAGCCAGCCGTATGTCAAACTTTGACGAATTAAATAGATAGCTTTTTATCCTTGCATGTCGCAAGTCGTGTGAGGAAACCCACACGGCGATACTAACACCTCAGTTATCACGCTCAGCCTTCCATTGTTTCTAATTGTTTCCTAATGTGTGACGTCACGCAAATGACAGGATAGAGTAGGCAGATACGCACGTACGTAATTAGAAAATTTAAATCCACGCAAAAAGGTTGCAAAACTATCTTCTTAACTAATAACAAAGTACAATCAGGGTATCTGGCGGTGTTACAACTAAAAAGGTAGACATTTGAACATTTTGTACACATTGAGTATACGATGCAGAACATATTACTCAGCATTTTAATGTTTGTACCTAAAAAGATCGGTCAGTGGTACACGATTGCTTTTTCACCGACTTACCAAAAGGAGGTAATTCGTGCGGACGCTGGCAACATTTTTATATTATCAACTTGTACTTATCTCTTACGGACTTACAAACTTCCCTACCTTTGTAGCCATCAACATTCAATCTTAACACTCGTACAAGTCAGAACAACAAATAACGGAGACGATATGATCGCACAACGCACATACTTGTCTTTATATTATTAAAAACTCTGTAATATGCCCAATAAAGTATTTATACCAAACAGAGATCATCAATTTATCTATCTGTACTTTTATAATAAAGCGTATACACACACTTTTTTGTTGCCTAAGATGTCAGCAATTACAGCATATTTTTAAATAATTCTTTTTTTAATAAAAAGCCCTACACTTGCGTCACGCTTTAGGCTATATATTTTCACGCCATTAAACTTAGGGGGTAAATATTTTGGATAAAAATCCTAATGTGGGAAAGAGACCATAAGTTGCTGCCAACATCAAGGAAGCATGGTTGTCATCATGTCATGTCATTTTGACATTTGTACTTGATAACTTGACAAATGTAAGCAATAAAATAAAATTT